CGGGACACGGCTGGGTCCTAAAGGCCAACCTGTCTCGGGCAAAGAGGCGGAGGGCGGGGTAGGAGGGGAGTTGGTGGCTCTTGGGGACTACACCTCCCATAGTCCCCCAACCGCCGCCTGGATTTTAGGAGCCCTCCGTCCTGGAGAGGCGCATCACGCAGGCTGCGCCCTAAGAACCCAGGAGCGCACGGCGTCTGGGTCACCATCGCCCTTTGGGCCGAGACGGGATGCATGCTCCCCCCTCTTCCATTAAAACATCCTTAACGCCCCTTGGATAGCTAAAAACAAAATCGTTTTGTTTTTGTTTTTAAGTCATACCATTCTAAAGTTAAACTTTCCAAGAGATTTCTTTGCCTTTTTAATTCTATTACTTATTATTTTCAGTAATAACTATTTTTGACTAATAATAATTATGAGTCTAGCTTTCTTCCCCTCCTCCCCCTGCGGTATCACCTTTTTTGTTTGTTTATTTTTATTCAGGATATCCGTGTGGAAGGAACGGTCACTCTCGAATTGGCCTTCTCAGCCACACTAGGTGCTGTTCCAAGACCTCCATGCAGAGCACGTTACCCTAGTCTCTGGAGACTGAAGGATGCCTACTTACTTTTATTCAGGATATTTATACCATGATATAAATAATACATTTATATAATTTTATTTATATTCTATTCACAATATTTATGCCTAGTCCTCCCGTAAAGGGGAAAACTGGTGATATATATCACTATATCTTATTAAGGATAATTGTGTTTTGAAAAATAATATTTTAATTGCTAATGCAATATTATTACTTGCAGATACAATCAACATAAAAATACTGATCACACACATTTAATGCTACTTATGAATATAGCTAGAATGTCAATCGAAGTGGTCCTAATCAAATTTATAGATAAATCTGGTCTTGAAAATATTCCATCACATTACAAACAGTCCCTCCCCCCCCCTTTTGTAAGCCATGCTGGGAATCTGTTGAATGATGGGGCAATAAATCATAACCATAATTTTTTTCAAAAAAATCTCACCTCCCTGAAGAGAGACAGGGTATAAATCATTTTTCCGATGGTATAATTACACCCACAGGCTGGACTTGGGAGTCTAGACCAGAAGACAGACTCGGGGCAAAAATGCACAGAATTATACCATAAATAACTCTCACCAGTACCCTGGTTCAGTATTTATGCACACCCAGAGAGATCTCCAGTTGCAGATGCTACCCTAGAGGAATGGATGAGGTGCCGGTCACTTGTGCTGGACCAGCCCGTTGTCAGACTGGTGTGGCAGAAGGCTCTGGACACTCAATTATTCAACAAGAGACTGGCCATTTCAACTCATTTGTTTTAAACCAGCAGTCTTATGTACCCATACTTTATATGCCAGCAGACATTTTCTCCCAGGTAACTCAAATAGCAGGTGTTTCCTTCCAAGTAATTTGAATGAGGTTTAGTACCTGACCCAAGTCAAAATTACTGCACTGTGATAAACACTGCAAAGGGCAGCTATAGAGTTTACCTTGCGGGCAAGTTGCCGTCTCTCAATGGCTTTAATGTCCTTGTCCAACTCTTCACTGAGTTCTTGTAGCTCCTTCTCCAGCAACTCCTGGTAGAGAAATGTGCAGTTTAGTGATCAAGCATATCAATCCAGAGGTGGCTGGCCCAGTATATAGGCAACACAGCTGTTAGAATAAGTCAAGGGAGAATGAAAATAAGGTAGCAATGTGCCCACTACATAGACATGCCAGGAAAAGGTTCCCATCTGTGATAGCAGGTGTGAGGCTTCTTCAGGCTAAAGGAGGCTGTGCAATCAACCAGAAATTGCACACACAGAAGTCCCACTGACCATGTGGGTCAGCCTATCAAATGAACAGTGCAAAATGCAGAAATACAAATGGATGGTATCGAAAGCAAGGCCTTGTTTCCCACAGAGAGAGAGAGAGAGTAAGCCTGCCTCTCAGTTCAGTGTGTGGATGGGCATTTGCATGACAAAATAATCCTTCATCAATATGTGTACTCTTCCCTTATAGTCTGATTCCTACCAGAGGCTGAAATTTTTATTTTTTAGACTATAATTCCCCAAATCCCCCAGCTAACTTATCAGCAGTGGGGTTCTGGGTAGTGCAGTCCAAAAAAAGGGGGGAGGATCATTTGCAAGCTCTGGTACCTACACACAGAAAACTACTGTGTCTGAGAGAAAGCTACATGCTTGAATCCTCCCTGACATTCTAGTGTTCTCTATGTGAGGCACTTTATTCACCAGTATGAAGAATTTTTCAGTACTGTAGTAGTGCAAGCTGAAGTATGACCAGTCAAGACCTCAGCAAGAACTAGCAACACAAAGATACTTTAAAATGGGGTGCAAATGTCTGCCATATGAGAAGAATCATGGATAGAATTCCTTCAGTCAAATACTATACTAAAGGGAAGAAATATCTGGTGTTTCCCCCCTCAGTTTACAGTAATTTGGTTTTAAGTGGAGATTGACACATCTTTCTTGAGAATGGTAGAATTTTGTTTTGTTTTTGCAGATGATGAGGTTCATCTACGGAGTAACTGTGAATTTATCAGAAGCTATGTAGGGTGAGGGACCATGATTCTCCTGTGGAGCAGCAAACATCTTTAAAATACTGTGTAGCACATCTTGCAATCATGCCTGCCCTGTGGTGGGACTGGCTTTAGAATTCTTTCAAAAAGGAAGGCCTGGTGCTAAATGTCTTCTCCACACTAAGTGAAACCCTTTTCATTTTTCCAAGCCTTTTATCTTTGAGAGTTCAGTCTGAAGTTTATCTGAATTGGTTGCCACCATTCGCTTTACACACGTGTGCCAAAGTTTTGTGAGAATGCTGGGCGTGGAGTTTGGCTTCCTGAGAATCTCCGCTTTTATGACAAAAAACAAAAGGTCTAATTCTTGTGGTTGCAACAATATATGAATAATACGTGCTGAAATCTCAAAGGCCAAGGAGTCCTGATGGGCCCAGCGTAGTTTTTTGCCCCTTCTTGTGTTTGCAGAAATCACAGAGGAGAGAGGAGCTTACAAGATCATTTTGTAAAAACTGTAGGATGCATTATGTGGAACGCAGTAAGTCAGGCACTAGTTGCTTCATTTGTGCAACATGTATCGGTCACAAAGACAAGTTTTCTATCTATGGAATGTGAACTGTTTGAGCATAGACGTTCAAGGTTTTACTCTTATTATGCAAGAGAAGTGATACTGAGCAGAGGACAAAAGAAACACTTGGATACATGGGATGCATTCGGGACTAGAGCACCACCTTGGCCTCTGAATTCTGACTGAATTTCTTGGCAGTGCTTCTAGAGCATGGGGGTATGAGAGGGAGAGACCATCATCAAGGCAGAGGAGGAGGAGGAGGAGGAGGAGGGGAGAGGAAATAACAAAGAATCCTGCTCCATGGAAGCCAGTAAACACAGCTGCAACCCAGCCTATTTGGGAGAAACCTGCAGGGAGGATCTCCAACAGTGCATCATCTCTGGCTGCTTGCTCTTTCAGTCTCCATACTGGCTCCCCCGACACGTCCCCCCCAACCCCAAGGAAGTTTATAGCATATGCTTGGCTAGAACCCAGTCCTAACTTTGTGGCCACAGGTACTCACCTCAATGGGTGGGGAGGGCCGCTGTCGTTGCACTGGAGACACGATGACGGGCTTCTCCGGCTGCAAAGGAGGGCAAAATAAAAATCAGGACAGAGTCTGCTGTATTCGGAAACAAGCGGTGGGGAGGTGGGCAGGATTTCCCACCGCAGAAAGTGATTCTCCATATGGTGTTGTTAAGTATTGTTCCACGTCCGTATTTTTTCTTATGTTCCGTTTGAGCACAATGAGCTTGTGCAGCACAGATGCACAATTGTTCCGAGGAGGCACGGCCAAAGTGCGTGCAGGGTTACAGCCATGGCTCCCTGCTGCACCTCGCTCGCCATGCTGGCTGAGAGATCCTGGGGGCTGCAGTCTCTACAAGTCATTTTCAAGGCTGGGGCACTGACAGCTGTGATGAATTTGGACCAGCCCGGGCCTGTTTATCAGACCAGTCGACAAACACTACACAACCACAGCCAGGGAAAGCTGCATACCGAATGGAGATCATCAAGGATGGATGATTTCCCAGGTTCATAATCGAAAATGCTCCTAGGCTCTGTGTTTGCAGAATCCGGTGCTTCCCAATTTTTCCTGCAAGGGAAAGAGAAGGGAAGGGCTTTGTGAGGTCTGTTGTCCTCCACTCTTTGCCCCCCCAGCCACTTTGAATTTGCAATGTAGGGTTTTTTTCACACAACAGAAAGATTCCTGTGGAGTGCTCTCCTTATATGCTTTTGCACCCTTTGTCTCCTCCAGGTATCGCCTCCCAGGGCCCATCGTTCACAAATCCCATTCACTTGCTAACTGGGGAGGGAACTGAGCTTGTTAAAGGTTAAAACACTGTGGTGGGAGCTTCCGTATCAACTCACATACGATGGGTTCAAACTGCACAGCTGAGAGTTCTTAAAGGAAAGCGTGTGAAATGGATGTCAAGGCCACACTGGTTGATTATGGTTCCAACTCCGCTTTCATGCACTACAGCTCCCCCTAGTGTCATAACCAGGAACTGAAACAGGCATACATTCAACAGGGCAAGTTGGTATTTCCCAGCATTTTATTTTTAATCAGCCAACACGTGAAATGTATGATTATTCTGTTCAATAGCAGCATTGAACAGGATGAGAACTGTGGTTCAGTGGAGGGGTGTATTAACCACTTGCTCCCTTACTGTGCTCCCAGTTAAAGTACCACCCCTTACGGTATTTGCCCTGGGAGGGGAAGGTACTCTTAGCATCTATAGCAGCTGAGAATCAGGACTGCAAATATAGAAGGAGTCTCTCTCTCTCTCTCTCTCTGCGTCTTCTTGCCCCACTTTTGTATGTTGCAGTCCCTACTCTGGTCGGCTGTGCTTGTACACAACAGCTTAAAAAAATTGCGCAGGATACCTGAAATATGTTTCACATACTGTTTTGTTTGACATTCCAAACTCCTCTTAAGTTACAGCAGGGAGACCGCACCCAAACAGGAGCAAGGCAGTACCTTTGGCTCTTAGGTCTCACTTGCAAACCTGCTCCTCCCCTAGTTATTGCCACGGAAAGCTTAGAGGAGACACCTGACAGGAAGCTGGGATTTTAGTATTGCCCTGAAAGTAAACAACAAAGGGCAGAACTACTACAAGCTGGATTTTTTTTCTTTTAATTTTTTTAAGGGAAGTGGGAAACCCAAGCTGCTGTAACATAATGTCAGCATTGGCCAGTGAAATTCAGTGGGTAACCTGGGGCCATCCACGTTCTCTCTCTCTCTCTCCCTCTCTCAGGCTGATCTGCCTTATAGGGTTATTGTAAAATGTGATGGATAAAAGTATTATAAGCTGCCTTGAACCCACTGATGGGAAGACAGGAGATAAAAGTGCTATGGCAATTTTTAATTGGGAGAACACTTGCTTCATGCTCTGGAGGGGACACTCCTCGATTCAGAGCATGTTACCATAGTCTCTCGAGACTGAAGGATGCCTATGCTAATTTTTTTTTATGGGAAGTGGGAATCCCAAGCTGCTGTAACATAATGTCAGCATTGGCCAGTGAAATTCAGTGGGTAACCTGGGGCCAGTCATGTGCTCTCTCTCTCTCTCTCTCTCTCTCTGGCTGATCTGCCGTATAGGATTATTGTAAAATGCGATGGATAAAAGTATTATAAGCTGCCTTGAACCCACTGAGATAAAAGTGCTATGGTAGTTTTTAATTGGGAGAACACTCCTTCAGCCTTCAGGAGCTGATAACTTGCCAACTTGCTCTGAAGACAGGAAGGGCCAAAGTATCTCCCTGAAATTCACAGATATATCCCTCTGAAATAGCCCATCGTTAGAGCTCAAATCTCTTTGGTGTTGCAGAGATGTGACTGGAGGCAGACTTTCACATTTGAGAAACCACTAGCAAAAAAACCCGTATTGAGGTCCAAGAGAGCAATCACAAGATCAAGCAAGTTAGTTTGCTTTCTGCAATTTAGGAATTCTCTTTTCTAATGATCTACTGTCTGTATCTGTAACATATCGTCCAGCTCTCTGTATATCATTACCACAAGGCCTATGGTGAATAGAAAGGTTGGTAAGACTTTTAAAAGTTTTGTTGTTGTCCTACTGGTCATGTCTCCAGACTGTTTGTAAATCTTAGGTAAAGGTGAAAGTTCCATTTGACATTTAGTCCAGTCATGTCCGACTCTAGGGCATGGTGCTCATCCCCGTTTCCAAGCGCAGAGATGTGACTGGAGGCAGACTTTCACATTTGAGAAACCACTAGCAAAAAAACCCGTATTGAGGTCCAAGAGAGCAATCACAAGATCAAGCAAGTTAGTTTGCTTTCTGCAATTTAGGAATTCTCTTTTCTAATGATCTACTGTCTGTATCTGTAACATATCGTCCAGCTCTCTGTATATCATTACCACAAGGCCTGTGGTGAATAGAAAGGTTGGTAAGACTTTTAAAAGTTTTGTTGTTCTACTTGTCATGTCTCCAGACTGTTTGTAAATCTTAGGTAAAGGTGAAGGTTGCCCTTGACATTTAGGCCAGTCGTGTCTGACTCTAGGGGGTGGTGCTCATCCCCGTCTCCAAGCCATAGAGCCAGTGTTTGTCCGTAGACAGTTTCTGTGGTCAGGTGGCCAGCGCAACTAGACACAGAACGCTGTGACCTTCCCACCGAGGTGGTACCTGTTTGTCTACTCGCATTTTTACATGCTTTCGAACTGCTAGGTTTGCAGGAGCTGGGACAAGCGATGGGAGCTCTCTCCGTTGCGTGGATTTGATCTTAGGACTGCTGGTCTTCTGACCCTGCAGCACAGAGTTTCTGCGGTTTAACCCATAGCACCATCACATCCCTTCTAAATCTTAGAAGATTACAAAACATAACTCTTAAAACAACCACATACGGCTTATTGATGACACCTTCCAAATAACACGTAATGTTGTTGTCCTTAGAGAAACCCATGATTTTCAATATTAGCAAATCCTCCATTCTCAAGAAACTGTAACTTAGTTCACAATATACCAGGCACCCTATTATAATGACCCTAAAACTGTTCTGAGTGTTTTTCAAAGCTGTTTGTTCAGTGCTAAGTCTTCATATCTCTCTTTTTTCCCCTTGAATTCAACATACTCCCCAGTCAGTGTTAAGATGATCTAATGGTTACCCACATGTAGAAATACTGGTCTAGTTCCATAATGTATACATTATTAAATAGTTCACCTGCCCTCCTTTTTGGTAATATCCAGAAGTGTTAGATATATATACGGCCAACCGCCATTAGCAGAGGTGCCATGCTGAACCAAAGAAAATCTTTAGGAAGCACACAGCACAGCCTTTTAACTTTTTAGATAATTTTGTGAGCTTGTGGCCATACCAAGGAAGGCATGTGCGAAGAGAGCTTTCAGTAATGTCTAACACCCAGAATATATCTGTGATTCCAGCGTATAACCTTTGCTTCTTCCAAAACATTCTAGCAACTAGTTTGGAGATACTGCTTCGTTTCTTAGTTCTCCTCAAAGATCGATAGTACAGTTTTGGGGGATGTGGAAGGGCCTTCGGATGAACACTAGGAAGGAAGTTCCACTTAAGAAAACAGGATTGGTTTCTGTAGTGTAAAGGGCTTTGTTTATGCTTGCAGCATAGATACACTCTAGAAAAATATGCCTCTTCACTCGGTCTAATTTCCTCCATCTTTCCCAAGATGGTTTTCCCTTTTCCCTCTACCCTGGACTGCCCGTTACTGCCACCGTCCTCTGCAAGAGATACTCTGGCATCTCCCTCATGCCTCATGCTACTCACCAGTCCAAGCCATTCTGTTGGCAAAAGGGACTGTTTGATGCCAAGGGCGAAGGCTGGCTCTTCTTTAAGAATCCTGGAGGCCTAAGATCTGAAAGAGCAAAAACGATCACTTTTTTGTGAGGCAGCCAGAGTTTTTCAAGTGGTTGCCCTGCTCAGAAACCCAGTGTGTGTATCTAATCCTCTGTGTTTGCTTTGCTAGGCCTCTCTTTCCTCAGAAACCCAAAGCACAAAACGCAAAAGCAGCTCGCACACACATTTCATACATCTTTCCAGGTGTGTTACAGACATTGAGACAAGAATTGACAGACAAAAGAGTTGGAGGTTGTTCGTGATTTTGTATACCTTGTCTCAACAATCTCTAGATGTTGAGCTGGATAAATGCATTGGCAAAGCAGCCACCATGTTCTCTAGACTCACCAAGAGAGTATGGCTTAGTAAGAAGCTGACGGCATATACCAAGATCCAGGTCTATAGAGTCTGTGTCCTGAGCACACTCCTGTACTGCAGTGAGTCCTGGACCCTTTGTGTACGGCATGAGAGGAAGCTGAACACGTTCCATATGCATTGTCTCTGATGTATTTTTGGTATCACCTGGCAGGGCAACGTTCGAAATAGAGTAGTCCTAGAACAAGCTGGAATTTTTAGCATGTATACATTACTGAAACAGCGACGTCTACGTTGGCTCGGGCATGTTGTGAGAATGGCTGGCGGTCGGATTCCAAAAGATGTCCTGTATGGAGAATTAGTGCAGGGAAAGCGCCCCAGAGGGAGACCACAGCTGTGATACAAGGATATTATCTGCAAGCGGGATCTGAAGGCCTTAGGAATGGACCTTAACAGATGGGAGACCTTGACATCTGACTGTTCAGCCTAGAGACAGGTGGTGCATCATGGCCTCTCCCATTTTGAAGAGTCACTTGTTCAGAAGGCCGAGGCAAAGAGGCAGTCCCAGAACCAGCAAAACCAGGGAGCTGGACAGGGGACAGATTGTATTTGTCTTCAGTGTTGAAGGGATGGTGACACTCAAATTGGCCTTCTCAGCCACCCTAGATGCTGTTCCAAGGCCTCTATTCAGAGTACATTACCATAGACTCTTGAGACTGAAGGATGCCTACTACTACCGACTAATTCATAAATTGCTCCTTCTGGATCGAAGAATGTTAGACTGAACCAAATACACCTCAGAGGCTGATTCTGTGAAAAATATCACAATGATTGGGTTCTGCCCACCTGCTCGTGGACCTTAGAAAACCATCCCAATATTACGGTACTGAAAAAGCTCCCATAGGGCTTGGGGGGAAAACCTTAAGGGTATTCTTTCTCTATGGCAATGTTGTCACTTGCTGTCTATATTCTGTGTTGGTTCTGACAAGACTTCAGGGCTTCTGTGGAACAGAGGTAAGGAAGAGAGCCCTAAGCATGAAAGTGATGCCAAGGGGCATCCACACACTTTTGTTTTCATTTGGTATCAACTCCAAGCCCATAAGTAAATGCTGTATTGTGATCATCATCGCAATGCCCACCCTCCCGCAACAACTGGCAGAAACACATTCCTACCTCTGGACTTGTAGGCAAAGTCCCAATCCAGTTCTGGTTCTGAAAGAGAAAGAGATGCTTAGCTCCAGGTCTGAGGGCATTTGGGGCAAAATTATTCCTCCATCTGTGGAGTCTAATGAGCTTATTTGGCTTCTGCAGTAGTGGTCTCAGCCGTGCTGGGCAGCCATTTCCTCTCTCACACTGCAGCAACGCTGCTCAAAGTTGGGGATAACCTCACTATTGTTGTTTTTGTTGTTGACTGCTGGCTGGGGATATTGCTGGAGCGAAAAACAGGCAGTAGATCCAGTTGCCTGATGCTTTTCAGAGCACTATGCCAGGAAAAAGAAATTAAGAGCACTTAGGGCAGGCAGCAGGAGCAAGAGCTGTCAGTCGGCCAAGGCAAGGACAAGCCCAAGGCCATATAAGATTTCTACTCAAACTGCAGCACGTTGACCAAACATTAGCAAGAGAAGAAGGTCAGCCTAGAACACGGGGATGTCCAGGACAGAGGAACTGGATCCTCTGGAATTATTTTATACACCAGAGAGGATAGAGAGAATTCACAGAAGGGTTTGAAAAGAAAATTGTATAGATTAATTTATGGTGCACACACCTCACACTGAAAGGCAACTGGAAAAAAACAACAACTTTAAAACAGATGATAGATCCTGTTCACCTAGCATTGATACATCTGGAGTGGTAAAAAAAATTATTTCACTTCATTTTGATTAAATTTGTTACGTTCTTCAGAAAATGGATAGATAGATTCAAGTTCTAATGATTGTTTACTCTGGTTCTCTGGAAAAAGCAGAGCAGAATTACCGTCTTCCCACAAAAAGCAAAGGAAATTGTGTTGGTTCATAAGGAAACAAAATTCAAAGCCATTGTTGGACAATACCTTTATGAGAACTATTCCCAAAATCCCAGGTTTGTCAAAGCATCTGGGGGCGAGGATAGGCCAAATGGGTAAGGGTCATTGTGAATCCTTCTCTGAAACGAGTCATCATCCTAAAAGTGGCAATTGTGAGACCCTTCTTTGAAAACCAATATTATGCCATTGGGGAAGATACTGGAGGTTTGGATGGCATCTCTAAGGGCTTTTCCGTGACGTGGATTGTCTAGATCTGCTTTAATCTGGTTTTAAGACTGATTGTGAGAGAAATACTGCCTTGGTCATCTCAGTGGACAATCTGTGATGGAAACTAGACAACTCCTTTATTCACACATTGAGGGAGTTTGTTTTTATTTGTACTGTAATATCATCAGAAGCAATGAGCTCCACCTGCATAGCAAAGCAGGCTAGTAATTATAATAAACAAACAAACAAACAAACAGGTGTTCAAGTTCTCTGTTCTGCTTGATGCTAAGCAAAGGAATTATTTATTTGGCTGAAGAAAAATGGCTGATTTCCAGTGGAAGCCAGAGGGGGTCTGCATTTACACATAACTTTAAAATGAAGCATGTAAGGAGATTGAAGACTTAATAGGATTAAGCTCTACAAATTTCAGATAGCAGGTTTCAGGTGGAAGCTTGGACAAAGCAAGTAAATGTATACAAAATCCGTAAATTTTCCAGATCTGTCTCCAGATCCCCATATTATAATTGGAGGATTTAGTTTATGTAAAGCTACCAGGAATGTTCATGACTGACCCCAAAATTGCAGTTGCTCTCACAGCATGTATTTTCCAAGTCCCAGAACAGGTTGCAATCAGCAGCATTAAAAAACAAAAACAAACCCACAATGAGATGTTTTAACCACTAGAGGCTGCTCAATAGCTGTACGGGATTGTGCCTGATAGAGAGACACTTTTTCAAGGATTAGTTATTATGGAAAAAATCACACAGCCATGTTGATGTTGGTTGTGGGATTCTGGGAGCCGTGATCAGAAAGAATACTGTATATATTTATTATATAAAGGGACAGTACCAGGAAGTTTGCTGTGGATCTGCTGGAACATGCTACGATACCAGTCTCGTGGGCTGTCCACACTCTGGAATAGAAACCAGACAGGAAAGTCACTAACAAGGACAGAGAGAATTGAGGGAAGGCATATGTAAGATCAGCAAGAGACTGATGGGCTAGAAAGAACATTGCATCTATATAAACTTCTTTAATCTTCACCTGACTTTTGAATATTAACAAAATTATAAATAACAGTGTTTCCTTCCAGAATATAATGGAATAAGATTGTGGACTTCATTTATATATATCTCACAGCTTGCTCTGCTCTTGCTTTTGCAACTTATTACATTTGGAGGCTGTGTTTGACACCAGCGAGAACTTCCACATTGACACACCCAAAGCATCTATGAAATGAATTCCAGAATCTCTTCCATTGGCCTGTTGCAGTTTGCAAGCTGGGAATCAAAACAATATGCATCCCCTCCTACTTTCTCCTTCCCTCTTCAGTGCAAATTCCTCCTTTCTGCCTTTATTGGCCCTCAGTTCACAATATGCATCTGCAATGATAGCCAGATCCTGGATATGAAGGACACAAAGGCTAGCTGTTCCTATGCCTTGTATTATTGCAGATATAATACTAAGTCTCTGCTTAAGATCAACAAAGAGATAGTAAATCTGTATTAGAGAGTGGAGGGAAGCTGAAGGAGGGACATGCAGCCTCAACATTGGTTTCTAATTTGCAAACCACCAATTGCACTAACGAAGCATGCTTCTACATCAGACCAATATGTTTGCCTCTCTCTTTTTCCGCAAGACTACTTCAAGAACTATTTATTTGAGACAGAATGTGTAAGGCTTTACAGATGTTTTCTTGCAGGCAGGCTCATAGAAACCATCGCTCTTATCCTCAGCTTTAGGTCAATCACCCATGCTGTGTTTTTTTTTCAGTACAGCATTTGGAAAACTTTTGGAATTTCACAGAAGTGTAGAGCCAGCCCAGTGTTCCACGGCTTGAGAAAAGACCCAAAAGCTGGCTAGTTCCAGACAACTTGGCTACAGATTCTCTGTCTACATGCATTTGTTCCAGAGACTTACCGATCGTGAAGCTATGGGCATCCCAGACTCATCCACTGGCCCAATTCCATCATACTTCAGCCAGCGTTTTTCCTTCCTCCTGCCATCTTTTGTCCAAGTAGCTGACCAGCCTGGCCCTGGCTCTGCGGTGCCATTCACAGCTGGGTTAATGGATAAACCAGCCTGGGAAGGAACAGGTGCTGCTTGAGATTTCAGGGGTCTGCTTTCTTTAGCAGGCCAAGTTGGGTACCAGTTATTTGCTGCAAAGAGACATGAACAGTGAAGGAAGAACTAGACAAAGCCCTAGTTGTTATTAAGGTAAGAGCAGTCAGGCCATCATTGAGAAAACCTACGGTTTACCAGCCCTGCATCTCTCTCTTTTTTTTTCTTTTTTTTGTGATAGGTGATACATCAACAACTTCTGATGATGTAAGCTGCCTCTTTATGCTGATTGTTCTTAGCTTTAAATATTGTATTTTGATTATGTAAATGACTGTTATATGCTCATTGCTTTCATCTTGAAAAGTGGTATTTCAAAGATGTAAGCTGCCTTGTGTCCTTTTTAAGGAGAAAGGCAGGGTAAAAATATTTTAATTAAACAGTAAATAAACATGTAGGGGCAGTGGTATACCTCCAATTAGGAAATGCTGAGGATAAGTAAAAGCCATTACTTCTATACACTTGATTATTTTTATCTTTTCCCCATCTTGAACAATATTACTCTATTTTATTATATCACGTTTATGCCATTTTTTATTGTTAGCTGCCCAGAGTGGGATATAAATTTAATCAATCAATCAATCAATCAGTCAATCAGTCAATCAATCAATCAATCAATCAATCAATCAATCAATCAATCAATCAATCAATATATCCTGCTTGCAAGTTTTCCCCAACAATATCATTGACTGTGGTAGGCAATTTGGAGGGCTCCAAGATATTTTTTGTAAAATCATAGAACAATTCAGTTGGAAGGGGCCTTTAAGGCAAGAATTGATTCCAAATCAAAGCAGATCTGAAATATGGTTGTCCAATTTCCCCTTAAATGCCTGAAGTTTTGGAGTGGTCACCACTTCCTGAGGTCATGGGGTTCCACTGTCATACTGCTCTGACAGTTAAGATGTTTTTCCTGATAGTTAGCCTACATCTGGCTTCTTGTCGCTTGAGCCCATGATTACATATCTCTCTGGGATTATCGAGAACAGATCCTGCCCCTCCTCTCTATGGCTACCTCTTAAGTAGTTGAAGAGTTCTGTCCTATATCCCTTCTGTACTACAGCCCCTATAATTTCTGACGAATGCACATGTTGGCCAAGTGTCATGGAATCAAAACACCAAGAGGACATCAGCCTCAAGATTCGAAGCAAGCCCTAAAAATTCTTTGGTGCCTCTAAAACAAGGCATTCAGCTCTGTGATCCACATTAGTTCAGTGCTGAGATAATAATGCAATCCAGCCAAAACAGGTAGTCCTGAGGATTGCATATTGTTCTCTGTGCAATACACAAACATCCATGGCTTACTTTTGTAAAAAGCACATGCTAAAATAAATCTGTTAGTCCTGAAGGCAACACAAGACTCTTCTTTCGTTAGCTCACTTTTCTTCCCCCCTACCAGAGCTGCCCTCCGCTTTGACAAAAACCAAAGGGCTTTCCCCCCCATCTCTGACAATAAATAGGAGCCCAGACAGACAGCTGAACTTGTTGGCTTGAGCTTTAATCAGATACAAAGGCTGAAGCAAATGGCCAAGAGGAAGATAAAGGAGGCAAAGGGTGACAGGGTCCCCTTGTGTGAAGGGAACTGGATCCTGTCCTCCTTTCTTGACTGGAATTACTTACCTGAGTTGTTCCACTGGGTTGTTTTTGGTGGCTGGGATATCCCGTTGTACACAGTGCGAGGGGCCGTGTCGTGGAACTCAAAATTCAGAGTATTTGAACCACAGTTACGGATCACAGGTACTTTCTGAGGATGAGTAGAGCAAAACAGTCCATTAGCACTCTGCTTTTTTCTTTCTTTCAGTACATTTCAGTCTTAAAATGGGAGTATATTGAGATTCCTCAAGAGAGATGCACACAGGGAAAATATTTGGATTTCCTTCATTTCAGTTTGTTTGGGTTTTTTTGTTTTTTTTTTTTGTAGGGACGTGATTCTTCTGTTTTCAGGTCAATTTTGCATAGTCCTTTTGTGGAACGTGAAAGGGATGCACTTTTTAAAGTTCTTTTGATACGTTTCCCTCATTTTCGTTTCTGCTACTAGCCCAAATAAAGCCCTACAGAGCTCTCAAAACTACTCCAAAAAAGCAGGGGCAAGGCAACAATTATCAACTCCAAAAGTGGGCAACAACAACAATACATAGAAAAGAAAAATCAGTCATCATCAGACCTAGGCAGCCACTAACTGTCCTTTTAGAGTTCACGGTTATCATTACATGCCCGTCATCCTCTCATCATCACTTCATTGGAAGGAAAAAGCACAGATGAGAAAGAGAAGTTATAATTGTTATCATCATCATCATCAGACCTATGTAGGGTGGCCTTACTTTTGATCATCATTGCCATCATCAACAATCATTACAGGCTGCTGTCAGTGCAACCCACAGCAACAAATTCTTTTCAGAGCACTTGAGAAGCAAGATAAGTAAAACAGAATTTAACACAGCCCTGTTTAGAACGAGAACTAGCACATTATTTGTACTGTATATCATACCCTTGTAAGGCCAATTGCCTAGATTTTCAACTTCCAAGATTCCTTCCTTCCAAATACTGGTCAGAATGCTGGTGGCGATTTATGCTGGCATTAAGTGCAATTGCATAAATCACAGTGGTGAATTGGCACTAATGAACAACCTGCCACTCACATTCTTGATTGCATGTGAGTCACATGCCTTGTTGCATGACTAGGAAAGCAAGTGGCAACTAATTAATTAGTGGCATTCACTGTCATAATTTACACAAGTACACTTATGCTGATGTATACGCCTAACAGGATTCTGGCCACCTTCTTTTAAGGACTCCTCTTCTTTTTGGGGGGGGGGCAAATACAAAGGGCACGTGTACACTTTGACTTTTCTATCTAGTACACATTTCTTTATCACCAGAAAAGCTGGAGAGCACCAACAGTTCATGACAGCATTGTCCAGGCTCACCTGTCATCTGTGTGAGCACACTGGGAACTTACTTCCAGAAGCAGAATAGTGCTGGACAAGGAACAGGGGATCCCATCTCCCCACATCCTCTCTAGCACAGGAGAAAGAACATCTGACAAAAACATATATTTAGGTCTGCCTCTTAAGCCAGCTTGGACCAAGTCATCCTGGTAGAAGTTGACTGGGTATCTCAAAAGGTTGACCTTCAGTGACAGTTTGGGGGTCCTCCCTGTTTCTGAGACACCCAAACAGGCCAATGATGCAATGGTTGCAAAATGTTGTCTGATGGACAAGGGGGAAAAAAAACCTAGATAAGTGTGAAGGAAGAGGCATGGAATGAAATGGATGGAAAAGGAAGCAGCAGGAAAAGACATATAGATATAAAAAGAGGCCCAGGAAAGCTCTCTCTCATTCTCTGAATAGGTCATTTCCTTTCTGCACAAAGAGCTGGGGAAAACAAAACAAAACAGCCTCATGAGGAATGCTCAGTAGGCACCAACTGCTGACAAATTTGGGGGATAAAGAACAGAAAACAAGGATGGAGTAGGAACAGAATAAAGTACCCTGGTAAAGGGACGTGCCTGGTTAGGTAAATGCTGAAATGGGAGCATTCCACATTGCAGTTATTTATTGCAGGTACGACTTGTTTCCATGATGGATTATAATGTGCCTATAGAAAAAAATGCTATATATTTTCTGTTTGGCAATATTATTACTAATATGCCACTTTTCTGGAAAAAATCATTCAAACCTGCATTTTAAGAAAGTGAGCATTCATTAACTTTATAGTTAAAACTACATACCCATAGCAGCAAAGTTAAAAGCACAGACTAAGATATTGTTGCAAAAGATTTAAAGGAGGCACCTAAATGCCAAGCAAGTGTGCATTCCACAACTTTGACAACATCCCTTGAAGGCCCTGAGAGTCTTAACATCCAGCCATCTGTCTAAACTCCTAATTTGATCTAAACTCATAGAGTTTATAAAGGCAAAAAGGATTATCTCTACACACAGCACATACCTTCCTCACCTTGAAACAATTCGGGTCAGAAATAGAGAGATGTACCCTTTCAGATATTGTTGGCAGCAGGTCCCATAATCTCCTCCATTGACTACGAAGGCTCTGGATTATGGGAGACGCAGCTCAGCGAGGGTGGAAGGATGAGAAATGCAATAGCTCAGTGGTTGAACTGCAGTACGGCGGCCAAAACTCGGCTCATAACCTGGGTTCAATCCCAGGTAGCTGGCTCAAGGTTTCATCCTTCTGAGGTCAATTAATTGAGTGCCCGGCTTGCTGGGGGTGGGGGAAATGTGTAGTCTGCATAATTAAATTATAAACTGCCAGAAAGTGCTTTAAGCGCTATATAAGCAGCATGCTTTTTAAAAAAAAGTCCCACCATAAATTTAAGATTACCTTTAGCTAGTCTCTCAGCCTTGGTAATACAACAATCTTATTTCCTTAAATATAAAAAGACCAGATTTCTGTTCACGGATCTCTGCTGTCCCGTATAGTTATACGAAAGATTCTCTATATAAATTAATTTTTTGTTCTCATTTCTGGTAGTCCAGTTGCCCCGGACTGTGAGTGACCCTGCTTAGACAGCAAGCAAGCCTCACTTATCACACATACACACACATAAACACACACACACACACACACTCACCCTCCGCTGCAAAGGGACCCGCACAATTTGGGGTGTAGATGTAGCCTGAGGAGATACTCGGTTTGTGCTGTTGACGAAAGACGGGTTTTTCTGGAGGTGGGAAGGGATGAAGTCATCCAGGCTGAGGTCCAGGGCTGCCTCGGGTGTCCCAGTCTCTGTGTGACGAGATGCCGGGTTGCTGAGGGTGGGCCTTCCTGCCGGGAGAGGAGAGAGGTGGTTGCCATGGTCAAGATGATGACGCTCCGTGGACGACACACCCTGCAAGGTTTGGAAAAAAGAGATGGTTATTTAAGCCTTTTGGACTGGGTCTTATGTGGATGATACCATGAGAAGCACAGTGTACGTACACTGGAGCATAAGACTTGTCCAGGATAGTTCACTCCCTGGGGTGAAGTGGCAGCCAAGTTATTCTGGCAGATGAAAGAGGAAATTCCTTAAGCACCTCTCCCCATCCCTCAGCAGTAAAACACAATAATAAAGAAATAAATAAATAAAAAAACAATTTCATGCACACAAACTGTTAACCTGAGGCCTCACTCTGCCTCCAGAGAGGGCTGGCCTAGTTTAAGCAATGATCACTTCCATTTGAACCCGTTTTGAAACCACTGCAGGGTCCAGTCAGAGTGGAAACAATCTGTCTTTCCACATGTTTTTCAAAACTCTGTCTCCAAGTTCTTAATGTCAGATCTTTTCTTTTCATTCTCATGCAAGTTTGCAGCATACACACAATAATCACACACACACCCTACAAATTTCTGTTCGATATAGGATGACATACAGTAACTTTGCAAAAATCACCAGCTGACATTTGATAGTTCAGGGCCAAACTCCTGTTGTTTAGCATAGCAAATCACACTAGCAGGCCCACTGAATCAATGAGGATTTGTAAGTTCCACTGATTCAGATGGGCCTACTCTAACTGCAATTTACTGTGCTAAAGTAAGTCACAGTTAGAGTTGACCCATTTGAATCAATGAACTTAGGGATGAAATTGACTCTCCGAATCCCCACTGATTCAATAGCCCTACTCTAGTGTCATTTACTATGTTAAACAACAGGATTTTGGCTATGACATAATATTCAGTACCATTCAGTAACAGACAAGCAGTGGTACGTAACATCCATATGTGCTTGACAATGATATCTGACATTGACAGCCAAAGGTTTATGACATCATGCATCTGATGACTGCCAAAATCAGAACAAACCACTCATTAGAATAGGTATAAAATACACATTTTGGGGGTAAAATTTCACATTCAGAATGCTAATCTCGGCTTGAAACAGGGAGCTTCTGTGGCTCTACATTTTAGCTATGGTCTACACTTTACGTGTTTTTAAATGCCAACAAACAGAAATTGAGTAGGAACATTGGAAAATGCATTAACTCAAATATTTTTAACAGACGTGCATTTCCCCTGAAAGCACCTCCTTGCAGAAAAAAAAGAGCACAGTTTATTTCTACCTCTCTCGCAAATGTGAAGCGACGAAAGCCGTGGCAAGAACAAAAAAGGGGTAACTCTAGGTCTGAGCAGATGCTGGCGAGTGGGAGGGTCAGCAATTGCAGACGGCGAGGGATGAAACCAGGGACCAAACCTTTCGGCAAGACTAAAAGTTCTCAGGAGGGATCTTGTGGATTAAACTGTGACCAAAGGCTTCGGGTAACGCACCTTAGAAGACTGTGACAAATTTCACTGTCCGTTAATTCACCCTAACAATAACACTCACCAGTCATGTTGTGTGTGTGCGTGTGTACATTTGCACAGAGTTACAGATCTACTATGAGATTTCACCCAGTCTGGCCTGCATTGTTTTATGGAGCAGAAGAGATGATTTAAACAAATAAATAGAGCTAATTTTCTGAAGTACAGTAAATGTGTTTGTTTGTTTGTTTGTTTGTTTGTTTGTTTGTTTGTTTGTTTGATTGATTGATTGATTGATTGATTGATTGATTGATTGATTTGATTTGATTTGATTTGATTTGTATCCCACCCATCTGGTCTATACGACCACTCTAGGTGGCTGTGTCATCTACTAAGTCCGTATCTCTCCCCTACTCCAGTGAGCTCATCACGAATTCACTTTTTAAATGCCAAACAGTGAGGTCTCATTAGTTGGTTGTTGTGGGTTTTTCGGGCTCTTTCATGATTTCATGATTTCAGATAAAAGACAGGTAATCAGGGTTTGAAATCAGAATGGAAATAGAGAACATAGAGAGGTCAATGTAGACACATGTGAAGAGGTGCCCATTGTAGTCGGGGACAAAGTAACTTTCAAAATAATCTACATCAGGCCAGATACCCCATAATTAGAAATCAAATTCCATTAGTGTTTCTGAGACGTGATTCAGGCAGACCTTCATGGTTGAGCAATCATACCTGAGCATGGAACCTCCTGATGGACCAATCATAAACAAGTCGAGCTAGTTAGCAGGTTGGAGGAGATGTGGAAAGTTGCTACTGTGGTGATCAAATATTTTCAGCATGTAAGGAATTCCTCCTTCTAATGGCAGTTTATCTGTAATTGGTTTGGCCTTCAGGCTGTTTGTTCCCTCTAACTCTTGTCTCATCGATGGTGTGACTGACAAGCGGGTTCTTGGGCTCACAGGCAGAAGCTGGAATGCTCTGCACCAAAACAGTGGTTCTGCCATTGAGATATAGTCTGTACTTTTCTTCGAAACGAGGGAGGGACAGCAGAGTTTCCAGCCTAGGCACTCCCCTGCTGCATGTTATCTAATCATCCTTTACACAGAGTTACCCTGAACATCACATCATTCCTTCCGTGGGAATACCAGATGGGAATGCCTCTCTTTGGCTGCCAGACAAACGCCTGACTGGAAGACCCAGTGTTTCTGCCAGAAACGGATTAAATCCCTCCTGTTATTTACAAGAGGCATCAACAGCCCCCCTGGGATTTTTAGGCCACGTCCTGGATCTATCTGTTCCAAAACATTTCCTGCCTCTCCCCCCTTACCCTGGTCACAACAGGCAAATAATGGTTAATAAAAACAGCAATCATAATAATAATAGCATTGTCATGAATTAAGATGTAGACAGTGGCTCACATTCAGAGACTGCAGCATCCCAGATCCAGAGTTCTGAAACACCATTGATGCTCGTCACATACAGATGTGTTCCTCTTCGAGGAGAAGGCAGCTCACTTGTGTTTTCTGAACAGATGGAGGATAGGATGGAGAGAGAGAGAAACGTTAGTGATCAACATGGTGACTTCAAGTTGGCTGGGTGGGGCCGGTGAGTCATCAGATGAATCAGAAATGTCCTTCTCCACCCACCCCATCTTCTCATTTTTATTTATTTGTCACTTTTATTTCTATCTTTCTCCACCACCCAGTGAGTTCACAGAGTTCACACAGCATTCTTCCACTGGAACTTCACAACTTCACGTCAGTCTAAGAGAGAGAGTAAGTAATCCAAGACAATGCAGTGAGTTTTGTAGCTCAGTCAGGATTTAGAATTTGTATCTCCCACATGAAAGTTTAATGTTCTAACACGATATCACACTGGCTCCCTAGTCATTCATTCATTTTACTAGCATGGCCAAGTGACAACAGAATGTTTAACTTATTAATCTTTTTCCTCTTAATTGGACAATTGGACTATAATCATACAACCATTTAACCTGGAAGTGAATGCCACTAAACTAAACAGGATGTAAATTTGAATAAACATACAGGTAAAACTGTGCTGTCGTCTAATCAAGGGTAAAGATATTTGCATGCATTATCAAACCTCAATACATGTACGTTTATTGTTCTTTTTTTGTTTTGAAATTGACTTTTGGACTTAATAGAAATATGAGGCAGCTTGCAGCTTAATAAATAGAAGCTGCCACTTGTTAGAATAGGCCATATTTTTCATTCCCTGTTGAGTTTTCCTTTTGAGTTTTCCTCAGCTTTCCCTTTTACAACAACAACAACCAAATCAATATGCTACTACATACCAGATTAACATTATTCCACGTTGATTTAGCAACAGAAATTTTAGGAAGCAATCTTACACACACTTACGTGGAATTTAGACCCACTGCAGGAACTACATGTCCGCATCAAAGTACAGGACTGTGATGTTATTTAATTCACCTACGATTTTAACCAAATCCTGCAGTCCAAACTTTGTTACCCAAAGAGTCTTTATGCTACCATGTAGCAAGTGTAAGATACCATTAAACATAATGTTATTGGTTAAAACAGAACTAAACAAAAAGAAATATATTTTGAATAACTAAGAAGCGCAGAGAATAAATACAAGTGAAAGAGAACTGATAAGACCTAGTAAAGAAGCCAGATGCAAATAGCGAGTATGGATGGATGATGAGGTCATATAACCAGGGAGATTGGTGGGGGAAATGATGATGATATTCCTTCTCATAAATCAGCTAAGTGGCCCATAGGCACTAGTAAATGTAAGATTGCAAATAATGCTTTTACTGCCCAGAATACTGCATTGCACTAATGGGTTGCTATATAAATCTATTAAACAAACAAACAAAAACTAATTAACGAACTAGATTATTGTAAAAGCAATATTTGCTAAAATATCCATGGAAAAAGAAAAGCAGCAGCCAAAACGACATATTAGAAACCTCAAAATGAGATGCATGAAAATCAAACACAAAACACACAGACAAAATTTAAAAGGAATTTTCATGGTGCCTCAACCACAGCTGTCAGGAAAGCACTGCAGAACCAAGATGCTGCCCTTCATCACTCTCCTACCTCTTGATGGCAAGGACACCCACAGAAAGCCCCTGCAGATGATCTTAAGGGATGGATAAGTTCACAAAGGAAGAGACAGTACTTAGATACCTAGCTCCCAAGGTTTACCACTTGGGTTTATATGTTCAAAAGTCATGCATGGAGCATATGAGATTGGAAGGTGTCTTGATGGTTCATGGTGTCAAGGACAGAGACTGGGCAGAGACTGGTTCCCCTTGACATTTAGTTCAGTCCTGTCCGAATCTAGGGTGCGGTGCTCATCCCCGTCTCCAAGCCATAGAGCCAGCGTTTATCCGTAGACAGTTTCCGTGGTCACGTGGCCAGCGCGACTAGACACGGAACACTGTTACCTTCCCACCGAGGTGGTACCTATTTATCGACTCGCATTTTTGCAGGCTTTCAAACTGCTTGGTTGGAGGGAGCTGGGACAAGCGACGGGAGCTCCCTCCATCGTGTGGATCTGATCTTACAACGGCTGGTCTTCTGGATTTGCAGCACAGAGGCTTCTGCGGTTTAACCCACAGAGCCACCACGTCCCTTCTATCACCAACCTTACAGTTAATAAAATAATAAAATCTTTGCTTGGTGCTTAACAGGTATGAGCATTCGGGCTCACTTTCTTTCTGTGAAGAGCATTCCCAAGCATGTTACCCACCGCCTCACCTCAGGTGGCAGCTTGAGGGAACCTCCCCACCCCAAAGATGATCTTCCGCAAGGACACACTTATGCCAGAGAAAGGAGGATAGATGAGACAGGATGAAAGACTATTTCCATTGCAAAGCATTGCTCCCCACCCCTCAGCTACACACAAGGGCACTTCTGCCTTCTGGAGCTGTTCGAGTGAGTTACCAGAGCAAGGCCGACTTAGCTATTATCTACTTCTGACGCAGTTCTTTTCAGGGAGCGACTGAAACAAAGTCTCCTTTCCCCAGCTGGTGGAGCGCCCACAATGAGGTCACTGCCTGGCCTCTTCTCTTGGCCAGCACAGGGTGCACAGGCATATAGGGTGCCTGGCCTTTCAGTGCAGCCGTGACAATGCCAGTGGCTTTATATTAATTATGCAGCCTCGAACAATGCTCTACAGTTTGCTCAGCTGTGTGGCTGCATTCTTGTGTGGGTATCCAGAAATGGATTTGGCAAGAGGGGAGGGAAGCAGAAGTTTAAGAGTGGGAAGCAGGAATCTTTAAGACGCTAGAGCTTGGGGTGCAGTGGGAAAGGCGAAGTGGTGCCATGGAGCCAGAATCACAGCACTGGAACTTCCCGATTGCTACACACGTTTGACATCATCAGCCACCCCCTCTGGCTTCTCCATTTCTCTTGAATTCGGCTGCAATCCTCATACAGTACTAACTAGAGTGGTGGTGGGATATTCCTAGCAATAATACATTGCTGCAAGCTATCATCCCTTTCGCAGTATGAGTATTTTGAGATGACTTGGACTTGAATAGGCAACTAAAGGTACAGCTAAATGCGCATTTATCTTGTGGTTTGGCCTCAGTTGGGGACAGGCTGGTTCGCTGCTTTTCCCAGTGACTACAAGACATATGTGCCATCATGAATCCGCCTCCCCCTGATCAATGCCTGCTTATACGTTTTTGGATCCTGTCAGGGGCGGCTGGTTCGCTGCTTTTCCCAGTGACCACAAGTCATACAGTATGTGCCATCATGAATCCGCCTACTCCTGATCAATGCCTGCTTATAAGTTTTTTGTTCCTGTCTCTTTTGGTGTGGGTAGGATCACTCTGTTTTGGCTTGGTTTCAGTGTGTATGATCACTGGAACTGAATCAAAGAGGGTGGCTTAAGGTATCCCCTTGCATAACCTGTTTAATGATCTTTAAAAATGGAAAGCTTCCTTCCCTTCCCTGACAGAGAGAGAAAAATTTCCATTTCTTTTTAACTGTTGCTGACACATCAGCAATGCGTTCAGAATTTTAAAAAAAGACCTTTCAATACATCACTGATAGCAACAAAAAATTAGAAAACTTCCTCTCTCTTCCTCTCCGCATGGAGTAGGAAGGAAGCTTTCAATTTCTCAAGACCATCAAGCGACTTAGGGAAACTATGGAGAAGGGGATAGGTGTGTGTTTTTTGTTTTTGTTTTTTCTTTCCCTTTAAAGAGAAAGAACATTGAGCGACATCGTACTAAATGGGGTCACTCACAGTGCAATGCAGTGGGTACAAGGATTGCCTAAAATGACACACTGCACTTCAAAGTGGTCTGTTTAGCATGATCTCTAGACCAAACCAGCCTAGGACAACTGGGTTATCTAGTTGCCCCCAATGATATCTCAACAAAATATTTGTTCCAGGTGAGGATGACACTCTCTAGTCCAAATCAATCAACGCTGTCCAAATTAATCAATATGTTCGGCTCTGTTTTAAAGTTTGCTTGGGGGGTGTATCATGAGCACCCCCTTTGTTTTTACCTGCACCTGTATCACTGGCTATCCTTCAGTGGTAGAACATAGGCTGCCTATTCAGGAGGCCACAAGATGCCGGCCACAGAGACTGGCGAAACGTCAGGAAGAACAACCTTCAGAACACGGCCAAAGAGCCCGAAAAACCCACAACAACTATTAGATCCTGGATGTGAAAGCCTTCGTGAATACATCACACTAGGGCTGTTTGGGGCCCCAGAGATCTCCTGCCAATCAGTCTAGATCAGCTGTCCTTCAGCGTGTTCTCTCCAGATGTGTTAAGACTAGAACCTCACCATCCCTGCTGGGTGTTTTAGCCCAACAAGCGTGGAGAGCAACAGCTTGCTCTAGATTGTACTCAACTAAAGAAGCCCACGGGGCTGACCTCTGTTTGGTGCAAAGCCCAGCAAAGCCTTTCCAGTTTAGGGTGATGTTGGGATGGGGCCTCGTATTGACGGAGTCCGGCCAGAACAGGAAATCTTTTCCCCAATCCCTGGATTTAGCATGCACATTTTCAGAAGATAAAACTGGGAAAACATCCAGAGAACAGCAATAAAAATGACAATGGGAAAAAGAAATGCTTGTTGTTTGTTTAGCTTTGAAATTTATAAAAGGATATGATGTGTTTTGAGAAATGACTAGCAATGTCACAAGCAGAGATGTACTTTGCAATTTGCCCCATGCTCAGAACACATGTTATTGGTTTAACTACATTTGTATGCTATATATATCACTTTGCGCCACAACGTTTAGTGCATCATACATGGTTCTGCCCCTTCCTTCAGGACCAGCCTCTGAGCTATTGGATGATGTAAGATAATGAATGGCAAACTCAAGCTCACACAGCGAGCTTTGGGTTTAGTGAGGATTAGAACCCAGATCTTCCCAGCTTAACACATCCCCATTGACTCTGTTCCATTCATCAAGTGGCAGTATAGCATACCTAATTCTCAGCTTTTGTCTGCTAATGAGAGATCCACAATATCTCTGGCTGATGAAAATTCATTAGTCGTCTT